AATAAATTTACATGCAAATTTTAGACGATGTAGGCAAAATCTGCACAAAGTGCAATGCATAGTTTTTGAGATTAGAAATCCGTTAAGCAAAATGAAAATGAAAAAAAAACAAAAAAAAACGAGGGGTGAAAAAAAAACTCCAAAGCAAGATTTAAAAATGATTGTAGTAATTTAACAGGAGAAAAAAAACCCCTCAGAAAAATAGCATCAGAAAAAAAGGGAGGACTGGCCTGCATGTGGCGGTACAAAATGGAATAAAGCCCGACATCAACATGGCCGAAATAGATGTCAGCTGTATATGGCATTGTGTAACGGATTTCATAAAATGGTACGTAGGCGGGTCGGCTTGAGTGTAGCGTCCGGGGGCACCTTAAACGCCTCTCACCGCTGAGGGGCGGGTGTAGTTAACCCACTGTTTCGTTGCTATTTCGACAAGATTCCGTTGCGACCGCCTAAGCATTGACCGTATAGATGGAATACTGGCCGAAATCAGGCTGGCAAACTGGCACTGCTTATCAAATACCGACTTCTAGACGTCAGTGGAATCAAAAAGTAATGCTGTAGCGGTGTATCCAGTTTAGTGAGTTCAATCGGTAAGGATAAATAGGAAAGCCTTCGAAAATCCATGTCAACAGTCCGAACATCTCGCGGAATTTAAAAAAGCGAAATAATTGTCGGAGTCTCGTGAGAAAAGAGAGAGCAGCATTTGAGTCAAAAATAGTCAAATAAAAACCAAGAAATCCGAGGGAAGTTTTTCGCGCACGTGAATAGGGCAAAGCACAGTCGGGACTCCATCCCTTGTTTCAAGAATCATTAGGGAAATAAGTTAGTCGAAAAATCCGATAAGACGAATCTCATATCCGACTCCTCCATGTCCATGTAAACCGAGGAGCCGCCTTAGTATGAGAAAGTACACCGGCAAACTGCCGCATCTGGAAATAAAATTAACACAGTGACGTTCACAACAGACGCAGTAAGATAAACTCTGGGACGGCTGCAGCCCATTTAATCGCCTTGTCCGGATGGTATATCCAAAAAGTTCTCTATGAACTCACCGACCAACTGGCCTTCCCACTCTCTACGATCTTCGAAAGTTCCATGGAAGCAGGGGCTCTGTCTACCGACTGGAAACTAGCAAACACCAGCCCCATCTATAGAGGGGGAGAAAGAACCTCGCCAAATAGCTTCAGACCAGTGATCCTCAGAAGCATTAGTTGAAAATAATAAAAAGAAACGGATGGGACGTGTTGAAGGGAACGGTTTGCCTAGTGGACAGTAACATGGATTTAAGGTTGGTCGATCCTGCCTCACCAACCCGCTCATATCCATGGAAAGCCGGACAAAATTCGTAGAGGTGAGTATGTCAGTGGATGCAGTTTACATTGACTTCAGCAAAGCCTTCGACAGGGTGCCACACAGACGATTCACATTTAAACTACGCCATATGGGCCTGACTGGCAAAGTTCTTAAGTGGGTGGTCGAGTTCATCACAGGTCGACGTCAGCGTGTGTTCATTTGTGATGGCAATTCGGAGTGGGAAACCGCTCACAGAGATGTTTCACAGAGGATCGTCCTGCGTCCTATTCTGTGCTTGATATCTGCGAATGACTGTCTAGACTGCCTACTCTGAGCGAAAGTAGTGTTCGCTGATGATCTGAAGATGTGGAGTTCGATAAAAAAGTCATAGGACTAGCTAAACTTACAAAACAACTTAGATCGACTCCAACAATGCTGTAATGAATGGCTTCTCCTCGTCAATTTCAACAAATGTCTATTCATTAGACTGAGGTCTAGTTACAGAAAGGATTTGAGATATGAATATCAATATTTTTTCCGAGGTCACGAACTCCAGCTTGTAAATGAGGCAAAGGACCTTGGTGTGTGGAAAGCGTCCACTCCAAAACCCCCGTCTCATTGCGCCAAGCTAGCAAAGAAAGCGATGGGCATCGTGGGAACGATCAGGAGGTCCTTCCGTAACTTCGATGAAGAGCTTTTCGGTCGTCTGTTTGGAACATCTATCTGGCCGATGTTGGAATATGTTATTCAGGCATGGCGTCCCTGGGTAAAACAAGATTGCACCCTCTTGGAGAGGGTCAACGAAGAATGTTGAAACTAGTCTGTGGGCTGAAGAGCCTACTTTACGAGGAACGGGTGAGAAGGTTCAGAGTTTTCCCTCTGTCTTATAGGCAATACAGAAGGGACATGATCATGATCTTCCAACTTTTCAGAGAAGCCGACTGTGCGCTCAAATATGCCGATTATTTGAACGAGCACAAACGACGAATCTCGGAGTTCACAGATATAAATTAAAGACAATGTACGCCAACGTCGAAGTACGGGAGAATCTATTCTCTGACTGGCTGTTTGAGGATAGGAACGAAGAACTTGATTCGGTTGTTCTGGAGGAAAGAGTTAGGACATTTAGACGAATACTTGATGGCATTTTACATGATGACCATGTATTTAGTTGATAAGAACTGGTAAGATGAAACCGTATTTCTGCGTAAACATATGCATGATTTTTAGTCCATGTATGTAAATAGGCTTTTCAAAGGCTGTGCCCATCTCTCTTATATATACTAAATTATACTGAGCGCTATTCATTACATGTCACTTCGTTATATACAACTGTACACGAACAATGAAAATTGTCAATTATAAAATTTTGCTTGCACGTTTTAAGTGGCATCGTTTTTGGTGGCAAACGTTCTGGAGTTAACGGAGTATTTTGCTCTGGCCCAGACTGTCAAGGGCAAATAGGCGACGCAAGTAATTATATAAGCGTTTACTGAAGAGCCTCAGGTACATCGTCTCCATTCCATTTAGTTATATTCCATTTCATTCCATTTCTCCACTAGTATTCGTGTAAAATTAAGATCGAAGATTCGGGCCGTTTATTTTTGTGCGCAATTTCGTCTTGTGTCCGCGAAGACTGGGCCAAAGGTGTCACTGATACTTGTCCTCAATGCTAAGTCCATGATGAAGGACATGTTCTGTTTTGTAAACCAGGATATGATTACCTCTTTGCTGCCTGTAACACAGAGGGAACAAATAAAGGCAGTTTGGTCTTTCTTTGCAAGATTGGATTTAAAAGTCTGTACCAACCTTGTTGGATGGCGTTGTACTTTTTCCAGGCATGTTTGGCGTAATTTGCATGTTTGCCCAACTTTCTTGCTAATTTCTTTTTTCAGCCTCCTGTCTATCTACCCAGACCGCTTGTTTTGTCTTACACATATCAGTGGCCAGTAGTTGCCGACGAACTGTAGATAAACACTCTTGAAAAACTGTAAATCCTCGTAGGCATTATCGGAAATCTTTGAGCTGCAGTTGAGACCCCATAAGTCGACCCCCAACCGATTGAAGTCACCTCTTTCAAAACTAGGCTTTCTTTTGTGCAGAATGGGCAGAACGAAGGATAAAGAATGATCCAAACACAATCTATTTCGAGCAAGCCTAGGTCATGGAGATAACCTAGACTAAGCAATTCGAATTTTTCGTAAAAACGTTTTAGCCCAGTTAGCATTTTGTCGTTCACATGTTTCGTCAGTAACATTAAATATTACGTGAGGAGCGCCGTCTACGTCTTATGTAACAAACGGTACTCGAAGATAGATCTTGGACATGATGTTTTAACAGTGCTTAAGTTAATTCCTGGTGCGTTGAAGTCGCCCATGATCATGACATTAGGTAGAATGGAGAGTTTTCCAAACAGCTCCAATAAATGAGGGTCAGCAATTTGGTCGGTACTAGATCTTCGGTGCTTGCCGAAGAGGACGTCGAAAGATGGCGACCAGCAACATCGATGTTCAACTAACCAGCATCCGTCTTGCGCACAAGCTTGGTGGTCTTTAACGACATCATCAGGACACATTATGTCGCCACCCTGATGGTGTTCATGTCCCTCCGATATATTTGGTACCAGTTAGTGCTATTTTGCTCTTACTAATATTTCCGGACATCCAGGTTTCCGTTACTGCCACCGTTTCTGTCGAAATTTTGATAAAGCAGTGTTTTTAGCTCACAACGTTTCGATACGAGGCCGAGATGTTTTTATATAAACACCTCTAGTTTGCACCAGTCCAATTTGCGATCGCATATGTTACTTGTGTGGGCCTAAATACGTCCACACGGACGCTATTTTCATTGGAATTTTAGGGTGCTTGATGAGTTCCATTAACTTCGGTTGCTTCGATCGTGACATTGGGCGTTTCTGGCCTAGTTCTTTTGTCCGTTCGTTCGTTTGGTTCCGCTGCCGTCGTCCTTAATATTGCTGTCTACGTCAGCTAAAACTATATATTTCGTTGACTACCCTCCCCTTGAAGATAGCCGATTTGAGCTCGCCACCTTTCATTATCGAGTTTAAGTTGACTAACTTTGCCTCGACACATATCTAGGGTTGCCAGATGAAAAATCCCCTTTTTCCGTTTTTTGTTCGCAAGTGTTTCGAGTCGTTTAGTTATCCGAGTTCCTTCCGGGCCGTCCTTAGTAGTCAGGCTTTGTTCATCTGCAAACTGCCTACCATTAGTTTTATTATATCAAGCAATCAGTAAACAGGTGTGCAATCGACAGTGACAGGGACGTCAGAACAGCTATTTCCGTCGTTGACCAGCTTCTGACGTTGGGGTGCCATTAGTTAGTGACGGCTAGTAAGTCAATAATAGGAATTTAGATCACTCCGCCTTTCTGATAACACCCCCCAGTTATACTCAGCGTCCTGGATTTTAGGAAATCGGATGATTGTATTTCTGGTCAAAAGTAGACTATAAAAACGGAATTTTAATAGGCTGAAATTCAGTCGCACAACGCGCATAGTCACCTGTTGTCTTGAAAGGCGATAACACATTTACGGCCTTTCAAGGCTTGTACATTTTTGGTCACGAAGTCAGTGGACAAGTTTTCATTCAGTTTTTGAACAGGATTTTGCAGTGCCCGCTGTCAAATAGTTTGTTTTTCGTTTCTTGGTACTTCATGAACCGAATTTTAAGTTCTGACGTTCATAAATGGACCCCTGTGATCGAGAAATTGATGGAGTCCTACGCCAACATCTGGCCAATCTTTCCTCAGTCATTGACGATATTCATCAATTGGAAGATTGCCTGAGTGAGTCACCCCCTTTGTGGTATTCCAGAGGAATGAAATGCATCTTTGGTGCTTCTAGAAGCACCAAAGATGCAAATCTACAAGCCCTTTTTCGCATTTTCCTGGCTGATATGTTTGTCACAATCTTAACTCGGGCAGTATTTATTGCGCTTTGCATTTTTACTTTTGTCTTCAGTTAACACTTACGAATCATTCAGACCCGGACCCTTGGTCCATTTAACAGTATTGTGTTTTGAATTTGTGTAGTAACAGCTTGCGATGACCGCCGTGTCGCCGTTGCTTGTTCGAGATCGTCGTTTGATTTGTGGGTGGGTGTCCTAAACAGGATTTTATAGCGGTTTATTCGAGCAGCGTAGTGGCACAAGGGGACCTCCTACTGCGAACGTCTGGTACCCGAGAAGTATCGCCTTTTTTCCCATTCGGGCTTATAAATACCCCCAAATTGGCGAACTCCTCTTTACTTTTCATAATTTTCTACAAAAGACCGCTTCCTGCATACAATGAACAACGCTAAAACGGGAATGTGCCACTGTGTAATTTAAGAATTGGCCTGAATTCTTTCAGTCATTATACGCTATGTCGACTTAGGTCAGCAGCATCAGCCTTTATCATGACAGAAGAATCTGTCAAACCACGCACCTTGCTACTTCTCTAGCCGGTTTTAGACAAGTACATCCCCAATAGAGGACAGAAGTTACATTTTAAATTTTGCACGGCCAGTACAGGCGCCAAATTGACGTTCTAGAAAGCGACACCTTATACTGTTTATTAAAGGACTTGATTCAGTAGCCACGCGTACTGGTTGGGTACAGGGCTGTATATGGAGGGAAATTGCCTTTAAAACTTATAGAAAGCGTCCTTTTACATTCCTTAAGTTCTTACCAAAGAAATTATTTTTTTATATTTCATTGTCCTGACCAGGTTGCTGATTCTAAAGGCTTTTCAATAAGGTCTTAGTTTTTATTGTGCGTTTCCGGACATAATCGATTCCATGGAGAAGCAAGTTACTGCACACTTTCCTGATAAGCAGTTGGAGTATGTGCCGTGCTTTTTTGTCCTGTCCAGTTGGTATCAACCTGCTACAGTAATACGCGCATACGCGCCGCCATTACCGCGAACACACACACACACACACACGACAATTCCACCGTCATGCCCGACGATGTCCACCGTGTGCTCCACAGTGAGGTAAGAGCAAGCACGGTGACTTGTGCGTGAGTTGGTTTACAGTGGTAGTAAACCTTCACAGCAAATACCCCCTCCTCCTCCTCCTCCTCCTCCTCTCCAACCTGGGCCTGGCGTTAAGACATAGTCAAGAAGACCGGAGGCAGGGGAGGACGCAGGTAGATGACGCGGCCGAGCCCGCACCTTGGCGCTCCACTCCACATCCCCTGATCCACAACAAACACTTGACCAGCAACAATAAAATGGGAGGGGACGGCAGGGGTCCCAATGTGCCCGACGTCTGCCGGCACCTGGGTCTATTACCGCACCCGGAAATGTTTTAATTTGCTATGGTCCAAATTCTGATAATACCTGCCAGAATCCGATATGGCCCCCGTGTTTGTCCAGCACATCTACGGCGTGGCCCGTTTGGGGGGCACACCCATGCTCTTGGAAAGGAAACAGCAGACCCAGCACGAACAAATGAAGGTCCGACCGTCGTACCAGACAAGGTCATCCGTGTGTCCTACACCATGCTGACGCAGAGACGGTGACTTGCGCGTGATTTAGTTTACAGTGGTAGTAGACTTGCGCTGCATCTACAACACTCTCCTCCTCTCTCACCTGGGCTCGTTGTTGGGATTGAATCAAGAGGTCTGGAGATGGAGGAGGACGCAGGTGACTGGCGCGGCTGGAGCCGCCCCAGGCGTGCCGCTACATCCTGCGTGGATCGCACTAGGCGATAGTGCCATAAAGGCCACATTAAGGAGCCATTGTAGCCTGACGCGCAGTCCGCCAGTCGGTCACTGCACACAAAAACACGTTACGTTCACTGCGTGGTCCGAGTTCCATCGTCAACTGGCAACTTTCCAAACCTCAATGTTTGCTGCACCGTGACAGTCTCAGGCTCGGATCACACATACAGCGGAGGATTCACATGGAGATGAAACCGTGGAACATGCCTTCTACTTGCGTGACAGGTGCCAATCGCGTGCTTCCGTTATGTGATTTTGGGCGTGGTCATTTGTGTTGTAGGTGTCGGGCCTTGAGGATTGTGTGCGTATTCCATTTTCTGCTTTAGCAGACCATAAACCTTACAGTATTGTGTGAGCTGTCAGTTTTCTGGCACCTGATTCCCTGCCGGTGGATGCGTTTGTGCTCCGGCTGGGTATACAGGTCGTGTGCGTAGTCATCCGGTGATATGTGTCGTCCTCTTCTTTCTGGCCTACTTTTGTTGTTGGTTAAAATCTAAGTTAAATGTTCGTTGTAGAACAGGGGGTGTTGTTGTACGCCCAGGTGTGTGTTCGGCCGTGCCAGCCACTTGCAGCCTCTCCCGCCTCCGGTTTTTTTTGACTATGTCTTGACACCGAGCTCAGGTAGGAGAGGATGAGAGAGTACGGTGGGTGCTGTGCAAGTCCACTTCCTCTATAAAGTAACTCGTTGTGCCTGCTCTCACCTTGCTGTGGAGCAGCCGATGGACATCATCGGCTGTCAGATGCGGGCGAGGAGAGATGTGGTGATATGGTATAGCCAGCGATGTTCTACCGCAAGTTTTCATTCAGGCGCATTTGGCTCTATAGGCGCATGCGGTGAGTGAATGTGCGTGGACAGCGCGGGCAGTTGAGGTAAGTGCGGTGGTTGTATACTGGTGCTTCTGGCACCGGTTTGTCACTGTGCGATAGACCCGCAAGTGATCAACCAGGCCGGTGCGTGATATGTACGTGCGGTGGGAGTGAGGACAGGAGAAGTTCGGAGCTTTATAATCTGTTAGGGTGATAGGGCCGCTAACCTTAGTCGTGTTGGTTGGACTTCCGGAGACAGCTGAGATGGAAGTGATAAAGCTTCCTGGCATAGCTGGCATAGACGGTCCAGGTCTCCGTTCCGTGCAGAAGTGTCGGCAAGATAACGGCCTCGTACATCTTCATTCTGGTGTTAACACACGCAGTGCGAAAGGCTACGACCACTAATTTTTCGGTCCACATCCTCCCAGGACTGCGTGAGCCTCCAAAGCGGGCCACACAGTAGATGCGCTGGACCAGCGCAGGGGCCAGATCGAGGTCCGCCAGATTTTATTGGGAATACGCACCCGTAACAAATACCAGCATTGAGAATGTGGTGGCACACCCAGCCGCACACACACGCCGCGCCGGTTGGGATCCAAGCCGCCCCCTTTTTTCTTGTGTAAAATCCCAGTCGGTTGTACGTTGTGGCCCAGTGGGTGTGGTGGTACGCCTAAGTGCAGGTTCTCTCTCTGCCAGCCACCGGCGCCCTCTCCCGCCTCCGGCCTTCTTGACTCTCTCTTGACACCCGGCCCAGGTGGGAGGGGAGGAGATAATGCTGTAGATGCGGCGCAAGTTTACCATCACTGTAAATTAATTCACGCAGAAGTCATGGTCCCTGCCCTCATCCTGGTGTGGGGCAAACAGTGGACATAATCGGAGGCGATGGTCGAACTGTCGTTAAGTGTCAGGAGTGTACGTACGGTGCCTTCTACAATTAGACCATCAGTGACGGTGACCGCCTAAGTGAATGCTCAGAGTGTATCGTGCCGTGATGTGCCGCGGTCTCGTGTCTTAAGTTTTTCCTCAATCTACTGCAGGCTATTTTTGTATCCTCATCTTTGGTGTTCTAGGTCTAGCCAGAGTACGCCTGACAAAATAGCAAATTAATTTTCCATTTTATTTCCTCAAATCCTTTCTTTATTAGCACGAAGTTTTCAAAGTAGTTGCTTTGTTTGTCGTGGGATCATCCCTTACGACATGAACGAAAGTCTAGGAGGTGTTGAGCCAAACGCCTGAGTAATACTGATTTCTTCAGTTTATGGTTTTTTGTAGAAATACGTCCCGGCAAAATAATCGCCACTAACCATAATTTCCAGCTTTTCCTCTTAAATTGACTTAGGACATCAAACGAAAAGGAATGAATCAGTACCGCCCAGCTAATAATTTCTTCCCGAGATCGCTGTACTCATATGCTCTTACGTCTTTGCTTTCATGAGATGGACTTTGTGAATACTACAGCCGACCGGAACGCAATGAGTAACCTTGGTGCCTCCAAGCCCGAATAAGGTGTTTTGAAAATGACAGGGCTTAACTATAATGAAGAAGAGAAGTCGAGCACCGGAACACTTTGTTTATTGTCCTGAGCTTTCAGACTTGTACTGGAGTCCATCGTCAGAGGTAGTAGCAGTAACAGAACAAGCGACAGTTATAAGGCGTGTAGGTCAATCATCGACCGACGGCGCAAGACTGGAGGTGACCACGCAGGGCTCTGTACGTCGGCGCCGGATCGATAAATCGATTGACCGAGTTCTCATCCCTAGGCCCAGGCTTCAATCAATTCTCGCCCTGTTTTGTTTCCGGCATGGGCGACTATTTTGGTGGTTCCGAAGTTAAACTCGTGGCCCATTTCGTAGGTGTGGGAGGTCACTTGTGATAATCCGTCGCCTCGTCGCACAGCCAGCTTATGTTCGTGTATGCGCGATCCTAGCATGCGCCCAGTCTGTCCTGTGTAGTTACAAGGATAATTTTGACAGAGAATGCTTAAGTATATTTTGTTTTAGTGAAAGCTATCAGGCGTCTCTTAAAAGTTCTAGAAAAAAAGACCTTTTTGTGCCCGCGTGTTCTAGGTCTTGTCTTGTCTCATGCTGTGTAGGATCAGGACGAATCTTCCTGGCAAAAACGCGTTGCAATTCATCCACAGCCGGTGCCTCCATTTCTCAGATTTCCTACAACCGGGCTGATATGTCGACCAGGGGTGCAACCACAAGAGTTGACTGCACGGACTCAAAAAATACCAACGTACGTATTCTTGGTTGTGTTTTCAATGTGCTTTCCCAGCCTTTCGTTGTCCTTAAACCGATTGCCACAAATGTCCTTTTCAACAGAACGTTTTCATTATGTAGACACCAACATTTGAACTACTGGACGAGTTAGCGCCGTTAAATATGGAGGTGGCCACCAACCAAAGCGCCTCAGTTAGCGAACGCTCGATGGATCCCATCCACTGGTTCTCCGGAGTCCTTGTTCCACCGTCCCTACGACACGCTCAGTCCTGTTTCCGTCGGAGTCTTCGTCTAGTTGTAGATTTGGCGACGAAGCGGGCGGCTTTGATTGAATCCACCGAACGCCTCAATAATCTCATCCAGCAACGGGAGTCCATGGAGTCGGCCGTGGCGGTCGGCGTGACGCCAGTGGAGGGGTAGAACGTTGTTGCTGTCACCGCCACCGACTGTCCTTTTGTTGCCTTTATAATCCTACTCATCACGGTTACTGGCAATTATGCTTTCTATTTGATAAAAAGTTGATATTTCTGCTCGTTTCGAAACTTATTGGCCTTACCTTCCACAATTCATATACCGAAGGACTGTCATCGAACCCTGTCTGCACTTCGAGTATTGTTTTCCGAGGTCCCTTCTCAAGGCTGGTCTCACAACCCTACGTAAAATAGGATGGCATTGTCCGTAGCCATTCCTTCTTTGTTAGGGCGCTGGCCATGTGGGGAACCGTTACCGATTGCCTTGGATCATGAAATTACACTATGCACTAGAACGCCTGTAGCACTTTAAGTAGAGGAGACAAATTATGTGAAAGCTCAACGCACAGCGCAGTCCCAAGTACGTTAATAGGAGCTAATTCATACAATGGGGGAAATTAATAGCTAATTAACGTGTTGCCCTGCAGTTGATTTCCAATGCATGGATAGATCAAGGCTTATTTCGCGAAATGGCCTTTCACCCATCCGGCTTTGGAGAGAAACCAATTTACATCGATCGTGTTTCCTCAAAGGACTGACGAGTTATTTCTCACGTTTTCCTATACGCAAACTACGTCTTTAGTTTCTGGGCATAAGAAGGGAGAGATTTAATTTTTAGAACCGCCTTAAACAATTCGCCTTTTCAACTGCTCTATATGCTACATACGCTATGTAGAGCGAACTTGTGTATCGGTGTTTCTCGTGCCACATCAAGTTTAGCCCAAAGACGGGCAGACGTGAGTTTAACCGGTCTCTTATGTACGAACCCTGAGCGGGCAACAGGGTACTCTGATAATGTCAGACCTCATAGTCTAATAAACTGAAGCCGTGTCTGAGTGTTTCTGTAGTCTTCGACTTTTCACGAAACATTAGCCGGAGACGACTCTCGATTTTGAATCAGTGTGATAACAGGTCGTCATCATTGTCAGGTCAGCACCTCTGGCGCTGCTTGACGTGATATTGTTGCAAGCACGCCTACAATGACCCTGTCCTCGCGGGTTATCCAGTTTGCACCTGCCGACTCTGGCGCCTGTGAGGCAGGACAGCGGGTTTTGGACGCGTGAGGACAAACAGCTCCTCTATGGGACACTAGCAGCTACAGGGAATTTTATAGCGAATCTCTCCTCTACACTTATGTTGATTTCATGGTTTAAGCTTACAGGCCTATCTTCGACTCGCCTCAGACTAGGGCTAGTTAAAGACAATGGTCGAACATTTAATCACCGGTCTTTTGAGTAGTACAGTGTCCTCCCTTCCCACCAAACTGTACAGGTCACCCCCGGATCGCACACGAAAGCCACTGGTTTCGACAGTTGACTGCCACCAGGAGGTGGCCGTACTTCAGTTGTTATAGTACATATAATTTAGCCAGTGAAAGATACGAGGCGAAATCATCGCCGTGTTTTTAGCCACCTCCGTCTCGTGGTTTGGGGGGTAACATTAGGCTGGTCGGACTACAAGCACATAGGGGCATGTCAGATTGTCCGTACTGTTTATGGACTGACGTCCCTGCCATGGTAAGAATCACATCTCGGGACACGAACATAAGCTGGTTGTGCGACGAGGCGACGCATTATCACAAGTGGCCGCCCACACCTACGAAGTGGGTCACGAGTTTAACTTCGCAGCCACCAAAATAGTCGCCAATGCCGGAAATAAAACAGGCCGAGAATCGATTGAAGCCTGGGCCTAGGATGAGAACTCAGTCAATCGATTTATCGATCTGGCGCCGACGTACAGAGCCCTGCATAGTCCCCTCCAGTCTTGTGCCGTCAGTCGATGATTGACCTACGTGCCTTATAACTGCCGTTTGTTCTGTTGCTGCCACTACCTCTGACGATGGACTCCTGTATGAGTCTGAAAGCCCAGGACAATAAACAAAGTGTTCCGGTGTTCGAATCTTCTTCACTTATACATCTCGGGACTGTCAGCGATAGGGCTGTCAACCTGACGATTGCATTTTGTCTGCTGATTTATGCCAGTGGTACAGTTTCACAATCCAAGTTCTAGAACTCCATCATGGGAAGCCAGGCCAACAATGGTCTCGTCTCGGTGAGTATTGTAGTGTGGCGGATAGAGCAATGAACGGAGATCTACCGACTCGTTAAACGAACTGCTGGTGGCTCAAGCGGTCGCTCGACGATTTACGTTTTCAACGGCGCACCTATTGAATAGACTGGGATACTTCTTCGCAAACTTGTCAAGACGCCGGAACCCCCAGCAATCCGCGTTGATTTACGTGTTTGCATATTAGAGTTGAAAATTCTCAATTTCGGCGTTTAGATCCATTTCGGTGTTTTAGCGTGTCTCAGGACAGAATAGTCTGCTCTGCCTTCAGGTCCCGATATTTTATTCACTCTTCTGATCAAATTTCCTATTGCCATCTTTAGGAATATTTCATTTTCTGCCGGCCGACTGTTGTAGCAATTTATTTTTTTTCGGTCCACCAAACTCGCCAATAAAAACTTCAGAAGACAATCTGGACAGACCACAGCATAATCGAAGATTCGTGGAGCGTTGACTAGGTGCTTTTTTTACCAGCTTTTAACCAAAAAAGACTTTGGTACACTGTCATCCTTATTCTTGCAATCCAGTGTGCCCAACTTGATTAATGTTGCGTGTCATCCATTTACAGTATGCTCCCATAATGTATACTCACTTTACCAGCTGAGAGGCGACCCCTACTCCGACCTTTAGTTAACTGCTGCTTCCTCGGACACAAACGCGTTGTGCTCGTGTTTGATATCCTAGAAGCAAGGTTAAGATAGGCCTTTGCCCCTTTACCATGTTTTCCTACCTACACTGCGTTGCAGACGCTGTATGAAATGCGGCAACAATTAAACAAAAGGGTATTTTAGGAGTTACGACCACCCATGTGCCAAAACAAGGCAGTTTGTGCATTAACCATTCGTCTGATGACGAGATAGGGTATCGGATTAGAAAGCTCACAAGAAAAGTTATATATA